GGTTTTGCCATTGATTTGCTAGGTGACCTTGAGCTGGTCACATCCTAACTTTGTGCCTCAGTTTGCCCCATCTATAAAAAGGAGACAGTGCTGCTGACCTACCTTGTAAAGTGCTTCTAGACATACAAATACAAAAAGGCTATATAACAACCAAGTAGTAGTAGTAGTAGTATACACCCAAATATTGCCATAAACAGACTCTGTGTAGGTAGCTTACTGTTCACACAATGTCCATAGTCAAACCTGATGCAACTATATTGGCTTCAGCTGGGCCAAAATATATCACACACATGCAAGTGAACATTTTCAAATGTGTGTGTGTCACAAGCCTTATTTAGGTGCCAAAATAACAGGAGCCTTCAACAGCCATTTAAATCTATTGGTAACGTGAATGTTGTATATCATTGAAAAGCAGGCTTCTTTCATTTAAGGCCTGTATTCTCCGAAACACTTAGGCTATGTCTACACTACAGGGTTTTGCACCAAAACAGCCATTTTGGTGCAAAAACCCGCAGAGCGTCCACACCTCAAGCGTGTTTTTGCGCAAGAACATTTACAATAAAATGGCAGAACAGAGGGCTTTTCATGGTGCAGGTATATCTCTTTCTACGAGAAATAACTCCTTTTTGCACAAGAGTTCTTGCACAAAAAGGTGTGTGTGGATGCTCAACAGGGGTTTCTTGCTCAAAAAGAGCCTATCACAAAAAGCACAGGTGCTCTGATGGCCATTTTGTGAATGGCAATCAGAACTTTCTTGTGCAAGAGTGTCCCTGCAGTGTGAACACACTCTTGTGCAAAAGCGCATTGCTTTTGAGGCGTGGATGTGCTTTTCTGCAAAAAGCTTCTTGCACAAAATCCCTGCAGTGTAGACAAAGCCTTAGGGTATGTCTACACTACAGAGTTTTGTTGGAAAACAGCCCATTTTTTCAACAAAACTTGAGGAACGTCCACACTGCAATTGCGTTGTTCAGCAAGAAAATCAAAAGAACAGAGGGGTTTTTCTGGCATTGAACGAGCTCTTTCGCAAAAAATCGTGTGTGGACGAGGAAGAGGGAGTTCTTTTGGAAGAAAAGGAAAGAGGAAAAAGCACAGGTGCTCTGGTGGCCATTCCATCCATAGCAATCACAGCTTACATGCAAGATAGTGTCCAGACTGAATGGACGCTGTCTTTCGAAAAAGCAGATCGTTTTTTCGATGCACTTTTGCAGCGTGGACGCTCTCTTTTGGAAAAAGTTTTTTTGGAAGATCTCTTCCGAAAAAAGCGTCTTCTGAAAGAAGCCTGTAGTCTAGATGTAGCCTTAAATACACATTTAATTTTTAGTGTGTGACTTGCATGGGACTACTCATGTTTAAATGTGAGCGTCTATTTAAGAGCTCCATGCACTGGGTTTGCAGACCAGACCAACAGAGGTATTTAGACGAATAACTCCCATGTAAAAAAATGAGAGTCAGACTCCTGAATAACCGGGAGAATCTATATCTGTGTCCCAAAACATGGATTCAGGTGCTGAGCTTCAGGTATTCCAGTTTGAATTGTTTGGTCATAATGTATGTGTGTCCACATGCATAGTAGTGATTTTCAGAATGCTTGTGTATTGCACATTGGTAGACAACATAAGTTTTAATTATTTCCCCTGGAATAATTAGCAATGCCCTAGAACATAATGAAGTCACAAGTACTTAAATATATATCGCTGAGACCAGTGGGGTTGTGAGGGTGAAGTTCAGAATGGAGGGTTGGTGACCTTTTCTGGACTGGGTGTTCTAATAGCTCCTTGCCTCAAAGTGCTGGAATACTCCAAGGAGGATGGTAACCAAAACCCCTCTCGCCTCCTGAAAATACTCTTCCCAAGTTCCGGCCTCACTCTGCCAGTGACTGTGACACCAATGCCGATGGGCCTGTTGTATTCTAGCACCTAGTCTTGCTTCGCACCGTTTCTCTCCAACTCCTGCTGGCCGAATGACCCTTGCACAGAAATATCATTCATACACAGAGACAAATTCTGGCTTGCATGTGCATGAGGGTGCTGTTTTGCCCCCAGAGTCTGGGCAGCCAGAGGCTTTTGCATATGAGGATCACTGTAGTTGCACTCTCGGCTTCCCTTCTGGATTCACAGATTTTAAGACCAGAAGGGAATTTCACTTAGTTACACCTGTAATTTGCCCAGGAATTTGTGTTTGACTAAAGCATGTCTTCCAGAAAGGCATCCAATCTTGAGGTGAAGACAGAGATGAAGAATCTGCCACATGGCTTGGCAGCTTGATAGGTTTATCAAACGCATGCCTTATTTCTCATCTGAATTTGCCTGGCTTCAGCCTCCGGCAGTGGTTCCTATTATGCCCTTCTCCACTGAAGGGCCAACCAGACATTGGCACAAAGAGTTTAAAAGTACAGGGCCCACCCATCCAACTGCTCCATTAGTCTGATTCAGCTCCCAGTGAAATCAATGGGAGTCTTTCCATTGGCATCAACAAGCCCAATGCAGGGGACTCTCATTGACTTCAAAATACAGTCAAAGCTCTTTTATCTGGCACATTGACTGGAAAGCTGAATGAACCAGCATTTCTGCTCTTCTTGGAAAGTCCAGTTGTAGTCCACCAGGTCAAAGCTCCGCCCCCTCCAGGTTAGTGGGCGGCCACTCCACTTCACTGCACCCCTGCTCAGTCTCCCCTGGGAAATCAGTTGTGCTACCAGTTTGGGGCACTGACCTATGGTCAGGAAGGGACATGCCCACGTTCAACCTTCCCGCCAGGCTGGTCACAACAGTCCCGTGGCTCAGGCCTTTGATTAGGCCTAGACAATAGTAACTGCACCAAGTCCTCACGCAGGATGAGTGACAGTAGTCCAGAGGCTCAGGCCTCTGATCGGGCCAAGCCAATAGTCATTAGGCTCAGGCCCTGGTTCAGGGCAGGGCCACAAACAAACAGGGTTGAGGAGCTCATGCCGAGCAGCACTCACTAAACCCAGACCCTGGTTCAGGACAAGGCAGCAAGCAAACTACAGACAGGTCTCCTAGCTCTTGCAGAGAGCTGAAAAGTGCAGGCTGTTACATCAAATAGTGGGGATAGGATTGGGGGGACACAGGCTCACCCACCCCATTGCGTCCCAAACTGGGGCCCCAATGGTGGCAGCTTCATCTGCCTCTGGGTCAGCGGGGATCCTACCGGAAACACGCTGACTCAGTCATGGATTGTGAGTCAGCGAAACTAAGGTCGGGTGTCCCAGGGCTACTTCCAGACTCCCCCCTCCAGGCATACCTGAATCCAATGCAGGTCCTCTGGGGCGCTGAGGGCTGGAACCTCTGGCAGGGTTGGCAGTTCTCCCAGATCGACATCTGTCCGACTCTTTTAGGTCCACCTCCAGCTTGGGAGAGCAGAGCAGGTATCTGACTCCTCTGGGTCATGACCAGGCTCCTGTGCTTGTCTTTAATAACTCTTACCCTGCCTTCTGGACAAGTGATGAGATGAGGGCAAGCTCTGCGGGCTTCTTCCCCTCTGGGTCAGTAGGAGGCCTCACTACACCAGTTTATAATCTGGTCGATGCGGGGCTGGCCTAGCAGGACAACTGCCTACCTGGCTCCTCATTGTTCTCCAGAAGAGATGACACATCCCAACCCTCTCCCCTAGCCAGAGGAACAGCCCCAGGGGCTCTGTGTGCTCCCCTTGCCCGACTCCGAGAACTTGCTCCATAGTTCCTATTGGCTGGAAATTGCAGCCAATGGGAACTGCAAGGGTGGTGCCCAAGGGTGGAGGTAGCACACGGAGTCCCCGCTGTCTAAGAGCAAGGGACATGTGCCCATTTGCAGGAAGCCACCTGGTGTGAGTGCTGCTTGGATCCAGTACCCTAAATCTCCTCCTGTACTCCATTCGCCTAGCCTGGAGCGCTTTCCTGCACCCCAAATCCCTCATCCCCAGTGCAATCCTAGAGCCTACACCCCCAGCCCTCACCCCCTCTTGCTTTTATTCTGTTAACTCTTTAGTTAACCATAATATTTGACTAATCAGCACCTCCATTCCCCCAACACGAATAATAAATCTTTTACTGTATTTTGAAACACAAATGCTCCCCCTACGCACATATATTGAGGTGACATCCTGTTATAAATTAAAAAGTCGTATGTTTATCATTCACCTTTGACCACCTTACGTGCCTCTGCCCATTAATTCAACTCCACTGGTACTTCCCTTGGTCCCCTCCCTCCACCCCCAATACTCCAAAATTATGAACAACATCAAACAACCAAAACAATAAACCTTCCAGAGACACTTTCCTCTTCCCAAGTGTACACTTTTCCCACAGAGTTACCTAGACCACGGTCTGGGTCAAACCAAGATTCAGTTTCAGGCTAGTGACAGCTTTTCTATACCTAAAAAGTCACAACTTTAAAGTTTGAAATTGCATGAGCTGAATTCCCAGTGTGACCCAGCACTCACTCACAGCTCTTGAAAGATGGCAAATATCAGACTTCAGTGTTAGGGGGTTAAGTCCTGGCTCAGCTGAAGTCAATGGCAAATCTCCAAAGCTGACTTCAGCAGGCCCAGGACTTCACCCTTGTTATTTTTCTGTACATGGATGCTAATTAGCCCCCTTTTCAGAAGTTGAAGTAATTCCTGCATAAGCCGACAATTGGACTCCTAGTACCTGACTTCACAAGGGAAGAGGTTAAGAAAAAAAAGTTCCTATGTTTTTTAAAAACTCTTGATACATTTGTAAGACAGTGTTTGTCTCAAATATGTTCGTTATACAGAATACAACATACCGTGGGGTGTGGTGTAAAGATTTTATTAGCACTTGTTTTGTGATAAAACTTTTATACCACATCACACCATCATATGTTCCCTGTATATGCGCGCACACACACACATACATATGTACCAATGCTATGTCTCTATATGCATATTAATTTTTATAAAACTCCATTTTATGCTATCCATATTTTTGTTAAAAATGCATGTTCTTATTCCTCCATCTCTTTCATTAAACACACACACACAGGCCATTTTTTCTCCTTCCAATATCTTTAATTAGCTTATTTTCCCACTGCTTGAAAATGACATCACACTTTTATTTGTAAATGTCTGATAAAGCTTTCACCTTAAAAGGGCTGGCTGTACAAAGATTGTCGATACAAAGTTTAAAGACGTCACACACAAAAATGACATTTAAGGCATGTTCAGTTTGCCACACAAATAAAACAGCAAGGATGTTCAATATTAAGCCTGACTTTTCTCTTTGATCCTCAAGTTTTGTGCTTTTAAAAGTGAGGCTAACTTTCTATGCCATAGACTGGTGTGTATGTATATATATATATATCAAGCTCCTGAATTCAAAGTAGGGTCAGTGGCAGGCAACTCCACCGTTCTTTTAAAATGTTCTCTATTTATTTAATAAAGGTCAGGCCACATTCTGTGTGTCTGGTTTAAAAAAAAAAAGGATTCACATCTGGGTGACTCAGAGCAGACTCTTGCTGAACTTTATAGACATAGGAATGCTTTGTGTTTCCTGTAAGGCACAATACAACCCTGCATATGAATGGCCCATGGCAGCGTGGAACAGAGTGGGCCCCATCAAGAGCTCAGACATATTGCCTCATGGAGGCAAAACACTGTCTAAAGGGTGAAGTTCAGTTCACCCATGTGCAGAGAGCCAACACTTAAAGTCCACTCAAGCCCTATTTTCATGGTTTAAGCTGGGCTTACTAGGTCTTGTGCTGGCCTTCTGCATGAGGGAGACTTTCACTCACACCTTTAGAAGAGGGAGACAGAGGATGGATAGGGGATGGTGGTAGCATGCATTCACTTCCCATGCTGAAGTGAGGGGTGGATCATAGCTATGTTCCCCCTCACCACATCTGAAGGAGCTCACATTGCTAGCTGCACCGGTCTCACACAGCCTCATCCCAAGAAAAGCGCAGCTTTGGCCAACATTTTCAAAAGTGACTAGTGGTTTGGGATGCCTCCATTTTTTGTTATCCAACCTGAGTGCCTTTAAAGAAGGCTGATGTTTAGAGGGCGGGGAGCTAAGCACTTTGTGAAAATCAGCACCCTTAAGTAGTCTCAAGCTGGACATACAAAGTCAGTAGGGGAGGTCTCAAAATCTTTGCCAGCGACCACAACTGATCTTGGCTTCTGCACCATCAATAATTTGATGTCAGAGGTGAACTATCTGGGACCTCCTTAATTTTTTTTTTAAACCTATAACCCCTCTCCTCACAACTAGTATTTGGAAGACTGGAGCTTTGAAGGGCACTTGGTGAAGGTCTATTTCCAAGATGGAAAAGATAATCCCTCCATTTGGACCAACTGGCAACTTTTTGAAGTTTTTCGATCCATTAAAGATGATGAAGCACCAAAATGAAAAGGGGCAGAGAGGGGCAATGGAGAGAAGAACACTATTGAGGATGGGTCATGGATCTTTGAAAATATCCTGCCATTAGTTAGTTAAAAATAATCAGTCACTCCCTGGTAGAGTTACTACTGCCATCTTGGCAATGCCATGGGGCAGTTTCGTGTGGTTCACTTAGGCTATGTCTACACTACGAGTATTCTCAGCAAACAATATGCTAATGAGGGACTCATTTGCATGATTCGCAATCTCATTTGCATGTTTTCTGCCGATTTGTTTGCTTGCTAGGGGTTTTTGCGCAAAAACACGCAGTGTGAACGTTTTCTTTTTGCGCAAAAATCCTTTTTTCCTTTTAAAATATTGTGATTAAAACTATTGCAGCATGTTGACAGGTAACAACACCCTGCATTCCCTGCCTACAGCACCCCAGCATGAAAAGTATTGGAAGAACTGTCTCTGAATTTTGTATTGTGCCTTCAACACTGCTCCAATGTGCCTTCGTTTTTGGGCTGGTTATGGCAGTAAAAATACCAACTATCTCATAGACTTGTATGAGAGGTAGACACAATAGATGGTGACATTTCTGCTACAGCCATTACAGCCTCTCACGGAAATACCAATTTCCTGATTTGTTATAAGCAGGGCTCAACAAATTATACAATCTACTCGCCCGTGGCATGCGCAGATCGCCGGACAGTGCGGCTGGCGAGCAGGGCTCGCCACAGTTCGGTGAGCCCTGGTTATAAGATAGCTGGTGTACACAGAAACCATGCACAGAAACTTTTCTATGTGTGGACGTCTCACCCAGTAACCTGCAGACATTAGCAACTCTTGGTTAAAGCAGTGCTTACAACATCCCACTTACGCACACAGATGCTCATGTGCGATGCTTGCTGAAACCAATGGCATTATGCACCAACATCCAAGAGCTGAAATTAGTGACTTTAACTTTATAGCCATATGGAATCCAAGCTTGTCTAGTTTCTCCTCTAACGGAGTGAAGGTTTGACTTGACAGACTGTCTACAGCAAGGGTGGGCAAAGGGGCCTCCGCAGGCTGGATCTGGCCCACCAAGCAGGTGGATCCGGTCTGTGGATGCCCTGCAGCTACCCCACTCCCAGGCCATCAGGGCTTGGGGGCAGAAGGCGCACGCAAAGTGCCTCACTCCCTGCCCTGCAAGGGATGCACGACACAGAATGGACTGGTCCACTTTAAGCACTGTGCACTCCTTGCAGGGTGGGGGCAGGGAGGGCGCAAAGTCTTCTTTCGCCCTGCAAGGGGTGCGTTGTACTTAGAATGAACCACCAGCTGGTGGTCCACTCTCAGCACCACACGCCCCTTGCAGGGGTGGGGCAGGGAGCGAGAGATTTCCCTTGCTCCTCCCAGCACCAGGCCCTGATCAACCTGAGGGTCGGGGGAAGAGCACAAAGTCTCCTCCCACTGTCATGGGTGCAAGTGCTTAGAGGGAACCGCCAGCTGTTCAGAACAACTGGCAGTTTTCTCTAGATGCAGGCAAAGACTTCATACGCTCCACCACCCCCAGGCCAAACAGGGTCTGTGGGCGGGGAAGCCAGAAGTGTCCTGGCCCTGCCCCTTCCACATTAGGCCCAGCCCCTTCCAGGGTGGCCCAGGGCCACTTCAAAAATTAGTGAAGTAGCCCCTGGTCTAAAATTATTGTCCGCCCCTGGTCTACAGTGTGCACAAAACAAGGGGCATAAAAATCTGCAGTCATTCCACTACCATTGCAGCCAATAGGAATGCAACACAGGGAACAAATGCACAATACACCCTTGCTGTGTTATTACAAAGCTTGTGGTAAAATTCACACCAATGCAGAGGACCCTCAAAAGGCCCTCAACAATGCTTCCAGGCTCCAGCTAGTCAGATGCTGAGTTCTCTGGCCCTGACCAGCAAAGCATATAAAACGGGGCTGATTATTAAGTATCTGACTATTCCCCATCTACCTCAATAGGACTGCTGGTGAGTCTGACTGGACTGATGCTTAAGCCAATGGAAAAATCCCCATTAACTTCAGTACATTGGGTCCTATATCTATAAAGTTACGTTCTTTGGTGGTTCAAGGCCAGAGTACTTGGCCTCTGGCAGGACTGAACCATACATTTAAAAAGAGGGCTTAAAAAGTACAGAGGGCGAAGGCTTATTCAGGCTCCCTTTGCTGTGGTGAATTTCATCACTACTGAATGTTTAATGCTCTACAACTGCTGTTTGGAATCAAATAATTTGTGCCCCGACTTACAATTTTTTCCCCTCCCCCAAACACTCAAAGATAGAAGTCTATTTGATGGACTCAAATACTTAGGAACAGTCCACTTTAAACATTTTAAAGGCATTATTAGGTATATCACAGGTCTCCAGTTCACTTCTTGTAATGTTAACCAAAAAAAATTAAACCAATTTTTTCAATAAACAGTGAAACACGTTTTCTTGAGGTCTGAGATCTTTGTTAATGGGGACCGGATAACATAAGATGTAGAGGCAGTGATCAATCCACAGCAAAACTTTCCAAACAGATTATAAAACCAGCACAAAAGAGCAGTTTCTATTGAAGATGATGGCACCTGCTGTGCCAGAGATGCTTCTAGAACAATTTACACATGGCTATTGTAAAAATGCATACAAACATATAACTTTCAATTTGGTTAAATAAAGTACTGTTATATGCTACATTGCTAATATTTGGAGCATGGCACCTATGAGAACCTGGGAAAAGCCACAATTCATCTTTATTTTCTTTGATCAAAAATACGTATAGAAATGCCTGTTTCAAGGAAAATATCATACATTTTTTCTTGTTTAACAAAATAAATTAAATATACATGACTTCTGTTTAAACTCTATATAGAATTACAAAGGCTTTATATTTGTGATTGAATTCATTTCTAGTCCATATAGGTATTTAATACGGTCTTCCTTTCTTTCTTCCGTCCTTCCTCTCATGAAATTGAAATGAGATTATTTGAATCAACTGCAAAACATTATTTGGAAAGAAAAAACACACACAACCTTGGGTGCATATTTAGCAAATTCATTCTTCCATTAACAGCTATTTTTCGCTTTCTTTTTTTTCCACTTGCTCATTTTATTTTTATTGACACAATTAATCCAGTAGCTTGTCACTGTAAGTCATGAACATGTGATTGAAAATCACAGCTAGCGGCATCAGAGAAGGGCAGAACGTTTTGTTTTCTTGACCTTCAGCAGTTCAGTTATTATTATTATTATTAATTATTATTTCTTAAATATAAATATAAAGTTGCATTGTACAATTTCCTTCCTTCCTTCTTCCTGGCAGTGGCACTAAGTCATAGCATTGGGGTGAGTGGAACATTTTTAAAGACTTCGAGCAATGCCCCCTTGGGGAAAACACAATACGCTTGATTTGCAGAAATGGAACCAGCCAGCTAAGTTATCACCAACTGTCAGGCAAAATTACTGCTGGCGAGATGCAGTTGAAGTTTCATGTCGTAAATAGAAATGTGTTTTCCAGAAACCCTTCTGTTCTTTTTTTTTTCTTTTGGAATTGGGCAACTGAATGTTTCAACTGATTACAGTTTCCTGGTGCTTAGGCATTACACCTCAGGTACTTTCTAGCTTCAGCCACTACGTACATTCCCAAAGGTAAGAAGTGTGATGGACCTTGCACCAAAACAGGTGGCATGTGGCAGAGGCAGGAACAGAGGAAAGGCAGAGTCAACTGCAATAGCATCATGGTTTCCTTTTCTTCTCCCTCTTTTTGGCAGTGCAACAGAATAGGTGGTGCTGGTTGTCACAGATTCCTGCCTTATCTGTTGCCATCTTGATTTATACATGCAGACAAGTTTCCGTTGTTTTAGATGGCCACCTTTGTGCTGACATTGGGAATTCCTTCATTATTTCTCTTCTACAACCTAATGGTAATAACAACAAAATCACCTCTCTCTTTCTCTCACTACTCTGTCCACTTTGCCTTTTGCTGGCAGTGCTAGCTGACTCGAAGCAGTCTGTTCTGAGGTACCGTGAGGAAAAAAGCACCAATAAGCTACTGTCTATGGCTGCCCTTTAACACTGATAATGAATGTGCTGATGCTGGTGAACTTTGCCTTCCACATGTGAGTGCGTGTGAGTGTGGATGTCTGTGTAAATCTTTGGGTACATTTTCGATGCCACGGCTGGAGCCAATGCCGGCGCTTGGGATAGCAAGTGCTGCTGGTGGGCTACGTATTCCTCATAGTTTATGGAGGAGATGCAGTCTTTGTCAGGACCCTGGGAGACACAGATCCTGTCTCTGGCCTGTGGTCTGTGCACGGGGGCTGCGGCTGGGGGTGAGCAGGGCTTCTTTTTGGTCTGGCAGAGCCACAGGAGGATCGTCCCAAAGATGAAGACAGCTCCAGCGGGGATACCAATGATTACCGGCCACGGCAGGCTGCTAGCCGAGGAAGGGGCCACAGGGGCACTCGGTGGCTTGGGATCTGGACATCAGGTTTGCATGAAACAGAGAGAGAGAGAGAGAGAGAGAGAGAATTACAAGAGGGAAAGGGAGAAATCGAAAGAGTTAATTAAAACCAGGAGAAAAGGATTCAAAACAGATGTCAGGCTAGGGCTGGCTTTTGTATACTCTGTCTGACAACCCCAGCCATGCCAAATGCAAGTGGAATACACAGCCAACATCATAATGTTTTGCTGCTGGTTCTCTTTTGAAAAGCACTGAAAGGATAAACAAATCAATTTCTTTTGTTTAAGGTGGCAGGGAACCTAAAAAGGTTCTTTTTCAATAATTTATTATTCTTTATTTCCCCACCTCTAGTGGCCTCATCAGAGCCAGTTCAACAGCTGGTGTCTCAGCGCCAGCGTTCAGGGAGGGAGCTGACTTCCCTGCCCAGACTGGAGGATGAAATGCAGACCATGTCAGCTGCCCAGCAATTGGACCTGCATGCTCTGGTTACGCAGAACAGAGTCCTGTCTCTATTTGCCTTTGCCAGATATGTCTGCTCATTAAGGATTTATGCAATCTTATATATCCCTCCCTAATAGCAACTGATCTTCCTATAGTTAATTCACACTCAGCCATGGAACACAGCTCACTGTGGAACCTTGCAGGAGTGGTCTCCTGTGTAGGCAGGACAGCAGGTTTGGGACAGAGAGAGACAGGTTAAATAGCATCCCTCCTGTAGCACCTCCTGGTGTTCTGTAGGGCTGCTGATGGGGGAGGGGGAGAGGGAGAAACAACTGTGTTGGAGCCTGGCGATTCAATCAGAGTCCTGGGCCCTTTAAATTGCTGCTGGAGCCCCATCTGGTGCACTTTGGGCAGGGCTGAGGTCTGCCTGGGGGAACCTAGCCCCAGCCCTCCTCCTTCCGGAGCACTGAGCTATTCCCCACATCTCCACACTACCTTGCCCAGGGGCCTGGTGAATTTCTCAGCCCCACTAGTGATCTGCTGACACAAGTGAGGACTCGGTGGCATTTCCAGGCACTGCAGAACTGAGTGGCTGTGCTTGCTCAGGATAAGCCAGGGTTGGGAGGCCCTGCCTCAGGTAAGTCAGAAGAAGCCACGTCTGAAATGATTCTTTGCTTAGACATTGACCCTATTGGCTCAAGCCCTGATTCGTGGTATTTGCACAGTGCCCCATGAGCAGGATCAGCCCTAGTGACAGGGGCTCACATTTTGGTCTTCACCACAACAGCTCACTGCACGCAGCACTTTCCATTCAATTTTACAGCACTGTCAGGACAGAGAATTTAAATGCAGAGAGTCAAGGAATGAAGATGATTGTCCCTCTTACAAACCTCTAGTTGCCTATATTCCTGAACCGGCTGTTCAATTCAATCCCTAGTGAGCCACCAGAATGACAATGTTCAGCTCCATGCTCCCAGTTTTCGGGGTTTAGGTTCCAGCTCACTTCGTGTAATAGCAGACTTCTTATAATGTGCATCCAGGGCTCAGGCTACGTCTAGACTGCAGGCTTCTTTCGGAAGAAGCTTTTCTTCCAAAAAAACCTTCTTCCAAAAGAGAGCGTCCACATTGTCAATGCGCATCAAAAAAGCGATCTGCTTTTTTGAAAGATAGCATCCATTCAGTTTGGATGGTATCTCGCATTTAAGCGGTCATTACTATGGATGGAGTGTCCACCACTTTCCTCGTTCCTCTTCTTTCGAAAGAACTCCCTCTTCCCTGTCCACACACCCCTTTTTCCAAAAGAGCTCTTTCAAAAAAAAAAAACTTCTCTCGTAGAAAGAGGTTTACCAATGTCGGAAAAAACCCTCTGTTCTTTCGATTTTTTTCGAAAGCATGCAATTGCAGTGTGGATGTTAAGGGAAGTTTTTTTTTTCAAAAAAAACTCTGTAGTGTAGATGTAGCCTCAGTTAGCCGAGCTGTGGGAAGCACAACTTCAAATTACCTAACTTAAGCACACGCCTATGTCCAGGGCTCGACAAACTGCGGCGAGAGCTACTTGCCAGCCCTGCACTGCGCATGCTCCAGACCGGCACTGTGCATGCACGCAGCACCAGTGAATGGGGCACACGGCACAACCGGCTGAAATCTACTCGCCACAGGTGAGTAGAAACAGTGGTTTGTCGAGCCCTGCCTATGTCCATTCCTATTCAGAAAAGCACTTAAGCATGCACCGAAACATAAATTTGTGCTTAATCCCATTGTCTTCAATAAAATTTACACACGTGTAAGTGCTTTGCTGAATCAGGTTGACTTACATACTTTCTGAAAACTGAGCACCTTTACTAAATCAAGGTTCTCAGAGCCAGATTTTTAAAGGTATCTGGGCACCTAAGGATGCAGATAAGTCCTTAGTGGGGGTTTTCAAAAAGCACAGAGGTATCTAACTCCCACCGGGACTTGGTTGCCTATGGACTTTAGAAAATTCCACTACAGGGTTATCTGCAGCTTAGGTACGGAGGTAACTTTTAAAAAATTGGACCTCAGGTTTCAGATCTCTGATAACGGGATGAGGTGGCGGCATATAAAATCCTGAAATGATGCATATAAGATAATTTGTGCCTTCTCAGTCATATTCTTGTACTCTTCTGTGCAATATTTCCAAACGTGTAGAACTTTCTTTCCAAGCCAAAATTCTTCGAAGATGTCACTGAATTTTTTTCCTTCATTGAAATCCAGGACCGGTGTTAGTTAGAAACAGAGCATGCATAGCTTGTTTTGTTGTAAGTTATTCCAGTGCAAAAAACACACACCAGAAAAACAACTTTTTTTAATGCCCACATTAACACCACTTCTTTTCCTCTCCTCTCGCCGAATTGGCTCTGCAGGGCAGAGGGGAGGAAAAGTAAGGCAGCCGACTCTGGATTCACATGGGTAAGGAGGTGCCATCGTTATAAAATCCCTTCTCGGAGCAGCGCCACAATTTTAAGAGGGCAAAAGGGACAATGAAGTAATAATTAGACTGGGAGCCCCAGAATGTTCTGTACTGCAGGTCCCAGCCACGGAGCAGAGCACGGAGGCAAGCAGTCCTGAGTGCAGGACAACAGCTCCCAGGGGATCACCAAATAAGAAATTAACAAGCTGCTCATATTCTCTTTCACACCCATTTTCTGCTTTGGTGGTGATCCTTGCAGTTTTCATTCTTCTCTGTTTATGGGCTTGTTTCATTGTTTCCTTTTACCAAAAACCAATAAAAAAGCCAGGGGGTGAAAGTGGAAAGGGGGGGGGGGAAGGGGGAGGAGAAGCATTTAGATCTCGTGAGCACCTGGGCTCACTTTGCAGGACGATGCACAGAAAGCCTCACGATACAACTTCCCTTCCCAGCCCTACTCCAGCACAAAAGCAGATTAGGCATTTTCAACCCAGTAATTTAGCCCAGCAGCCCACAAGGAGGCTCAGAGAAGAGAAGAGATCGGTTGAGATGTGCCATGGGCAACAGAAAAACCAGCATCATCCAGCCACTCACCGAAGCCCTCCAGATCCCGAGCTGTGTAAATCAGCGCAGCTCCACTGAGGTCAATGGAGCCCAGCTGATTTATACCGACCGAGGCTCTGCATCAGCGATTACCATGATGCCGCTATGCAGAACATGCGTGTCAAGAACAGTTTAGAAAGAAAGTTCCAGCCACCCGACACTCACCGGGCAATACCGTGAGGAAAGCGCTGCGGAAGCTGTATCCCATCGTGTTTGCCCCTAGGCAGATGTACATCCCGGCGTCCTCCTCTTTGGCTCGAGTTATCATCAGTTTGTTTAAATAGGAGCCATCGGGCCGGGACCAGACCTCCCCGGTGGGAAGCACAACAAACTTCTGCCCCCCGACATCAATGGTGGAGTTGTACTTGTTCTCTGTGCCGTATTCCACCCGTTTCAGCCACTGGATGACCGGTTTGACATCACTGCGGACCTTGCACTGGAATGACGTGGTCCCACCATAGTCCACGGTCGTGTTCACGGGGTGCGTTCCCGTGAGAATGGGTTTGGACCGAGTCCTCTCTATAAATAAATACACATGACTGGTAAAGAACTGAGCTCATCAATCTTATCTGTGATAGTTTAAATACAGATGCTACAAACCTCTTGGTCAGTGCTAAGGAATCAGCCCCCATCTCCATTCTGATCCTATCATCCCAGCTACCTACTGAACCCAGGGCAGCAGTATTCAGCCACTCAAGCCCCACTAACGTTACAGGGAGTCGAATAGGTCAGCTCCAGAACTAACTAGTTTCCTTTCTACCATCTCTTGATGGTAACACAAGTCCAGTTTATAAAGCTGCATTTCCTGGACTGCATGCAAAGGGATAGACCTTGCAGGTGTGCAACAGTAAAAGTGGGGAGAGGCACGACCCCGAGCAGCCTTCCCCCCACTTTGCATCATGCAGACAAGATCCTGAACCAGTTGAAGTCCCCAGACTCACTGACAGGGGCGGAGGGGGCCCTTTAAATAGCCGCTGGAGCGCTGTATGGTGCGCTCCAGACAGTGCTGAGGGTCCAGAGGAGGTTGGCCACTGTAGCTGAATGGCCACAGAGGTTGCATGTCGTTAAGGGGCTGCGGCAGCTGCTGTCCTGCTTGCATGCTGAGCATGGATTGCCCCCCCCTCAGGTGCAGCTCTCTCACGGGGGCGTAGTGCAGTTCTGTAGCACCCCGGCAAAGGCCTGTGCCTTCATGCTGCACTTGGGCCCTTATGGGAGAGGGAGGGTTGGGGGGCACAGCACATGCAGTGTTATTCTGTGGATCTGGAATAGGGGCAAGTAAGTGTCCTGGGCCAGGGCAAGCCGCAGGGACACTTTCCTGCCACTGGAACAAAATACCAGGAACCCTTCTGGATGGTGTAAGCCAGGGTGGCACCGAAATTGACTTATGGCAAAAGTCCAATCCCATTACTGGCCCAGACCACCACCATGCTAGTTCTCTGCCCCGGTGGCAGGTGTACGTAATCTTAGGATGTTTCTGTGGGGCAGTCCTGCGCGTCCCCTGCCGGATCTGGAGGGCAGCGTGCGTTTTAGCCACGGGCATCTATGGTGAGTCCACAGGAAAGTCACAAATCCCGACTGTTGATAGCCCTGTGTGGGTACAACAAGTGGAGGCAAAGGACCATTCCCTCTCCTTGCACAGGGCAATCCTTGTTTCTCCAGAAGCCCCTTAGCCTTGCCGAACAGGATGGGACAAGGCCACTCCCCAATTCCACTTTCTGCACTATCCTGCTACCGGTGGGGAGCGCAGGCTGGATCCTGTTGGATGCAGCCAGTCAGAGACATGCTTCCTGCAGTGCACAGGGAGGAGTTTCCACTGGGGCTGGCAGAATGCTGTGGGAGCCTGATGCCAATGGGAAAGACCAACTTTCCTGGCTCTCTCACCAAGTTTTAAGCCCGTAGGCATTAGGGGTAGGAAAGACCTCCTAAGTCAAGTAGTCCACTGCCTCCTCCATTCACTCTTATTTTGTCTAGTCTAATCATAAATGTCCTAAGCACTGAGAAGTCACCAATATGCAGGCTATAGTCTGAGGATCTTGCTTCCTAGCCAGCAGGGAAGCCTGCACTTCCCTCTGATCATCTCACTTCAGGGGCTCTCCCAGATTTCCCTGCTGGCCATTGAAGCAAGATACCATGATAGGAAATCAAACCTAAGGGTCCCTAAGGGCCTTCAGAGTAGCTCACCAGACCTGCCTACCATTATTTATTATTACTAGAACTCAGAGGCCTCAGGCAGGCACTGTAAAATTTGATAAAAATTAAGATAAATGGGGACTACTCTCTGAAACAGCTGGTTATGTAAAGATACAGTTCCCAGCATCACCGGACAGGCGTTGAGGTAAGAGGAAAGAACAATGTTCTATACTTCAGGAAGACAGGATAGGCTGTATAGGGGGCTATCAGCACCGAAACACCAAAGCTCAGGGTATGTGGACAAGTATGGCTGAAATACTGAATCGTTTCAAAAGACTGTACATGAGGAACACACCAGCAGGGAGCGAAGCTGGAGAGATCTAGACTCAGATAAGCAGGTGACTGAGGGGAGAAAAGAAATTTGAGGGAGGAAATTTAATAAAACCTGACACACGCCATGGCACATTATTAAAATAGGAAGAAGCCTGTGAAAACACTTTGATACACATATCGCTTTGGTCCTGTGGTCGCTGTTTTTTTTTGTTCCTAGCCAGAAAAGGCTAAAGAAAATAAAGGTTAAAATAAAGGTACATCTTTAGGTTGATAAAAATTAAGATAAATGGGGTCTACTCTCTGAAACAGAAAATGGTTTGTTCCTGGTGTTTTCTGGTTTTGATGAAGTGAAAATGCCACAACTGACATTAAGATGGGACTTGATTCATTTCCCTGTCTCTGCTCCTGGTTTTAGTGTAAACACATGTTTTTACTGTCTTCACACAGCTGCATTTTTATCGATACCAGATGTCCAGCAGGTTTGTGCATTCAGAGTACCACAGAATTCCCCACATGTGCTTTTAATTCTTGTTATTCTACAGAAAGGGAGCTATCAGAAAGTAGATCACTGCCTTTCACACCAGGATGAACTTGATCATGCTATTGCACACATACTAACACACAAACAACATGCTTGTCTTGTGTTGCTTTGGGGTCTTCTATGCCCCTGCGCCTGGCTAATTAAAGACATTTGATCTTCCCTCTCACAGCTTATCTTCTCTTTCTTGAGATTGCAGCATCATAATCATTTCCATGGCAACATTCTACACTATCATACACACAGCATTTAAAGGAATAAAAGCTTTCCCTTGCTTAGTTTGAATAGCTTCTCCAGTATAATTAGCGTCAAAAATAAGAAGGGAGGGAGGAAATTAGAGCCACAGAATGTTCTGTATGGTTAAATACAGAGGACCACAGTCTAGTTCATCCCACTGACAATCCCCTATGGCATGTGCCCTAAGGACCAGATTTATAGAGGTGTTTAAGTGCTAAAGATATAGATAGATGCCTAGTGAGATTTTCTAAGTACATAGGCACCTGAGGGCATGTCTCCACTATAGGCTAAATGGGTGGGGCAGTGAGTGGATCAGATTTATCTAACACTGATGCAATTAAGAGACCATCAATTGCTCTCCCATTGTCTTCATTACTCCACCTCAATGAGAAGCACAAGGAAAATCGATCGGAGAGCATCTCCAATCAACACACGGTTACCAAGACACCATGATAACTAGATCTAAGTTATGTCAACTTCAGCTACATTATTCACATAGCTATGGTTGCGTAACTTAGATTGCTCTTCTGTGGTAGGGTAGAGATCAGGCCTAACTCCCAATGGGTACTTGAATTCAGTGCCTCAGAATAAGGGAGTTAGGCACCTAGACACTTAAATCACAGTAGGCACGGACTTTTTTAGCAGCCATATCACCTCGTGAACACACATACCAGGAGTTATCACGGCCTCTAGATGCTACTTTTTCCCCCCTCGTGCCTCCCTGCTGCTCTGGGAGTTGTTCTCCCCAGACATATTAACCTTATTATTTCCTGGCCCTGCTTCTGACTTCTCCAGAATAGACTCTGATGAACTGTTTCTCTGTCTTTGCAGAAATTTGCAACACCTCTCAGTTTAGTATAATGTGTGAATTCAGTGTCTGGCATTGCACACGGCTCTTGGTACAATGTTCTATTTATTCAAGTCAACCCCTGGTAAAAGCGCCTCCTTCATAACCCACTCAGCCCAGGGGCAGCACTTACGGATCACTTCAACTTTATATGTCGCATTGATTTCGCCAACTTTGTTAAACACTCGGCAAGTGTATTTCCCACTATCCTCAGGCTTTAGGTTCTTCAAGTTCAATGTCCACTTCTTCTTCTTGTTTTCCCCAATCTCCTGAGGAGTGAGGGGCTTATTGTCCTTCAGCCAGGTGATATCTGGTCTAGGGTTGCCACTGGCAACACATTTCAGGCGGACTGAGCTTCCGACAGGCCGTGCAATCACCCTCCGTCTCATTTTGGCAGGTTGCGTGAATCTGGGCCGGGCTGCAAAGGACACAAAGTGTTGATTACAATAAGCAAAGAGCATGATGGACCACACTGGTCTGAATTCCTTCTAAAGAGGCCATAGAATTTCTTTCTATAAATCTGGCCGTTGATTTCAGTGATGTCAAAATAATTCCAGAGTCACCTGTATCTCAGGGTAGAATTTGGCCCCATAGTTACTCTTAGTTTTATGGCCACCTTTGAGAACTTGCCCGGGCACTCATTAATAGATCTCAAAATTACTGTATTATTGCAAGCCAATTTAAAAAGACAGTTTGAAAGGAAGGTCGCAGAACTTAATTTCATTTACAAGTTTGATACCTACATCAGAGGTCTAAACAAAGACCTTTCGTGGATGACCCGCTACATCCACATCCTAATGACAGAAAAAAACCAAGCACCAGGTACTGAAGAGCACTTAGTTCCCATTCTATTAGCTTCATTTAGCATGGACACACTGACCATTTTTTTCCTTCTCTTCGCGCCCCCTCCCCCCTCTCTTTCTCTGTTATTTATTTGGAACTGAGACTCCTTAACACCATTCATCTGAAGAAGTGGGTTGTGCCCACAAAAGCTCATGATAGCATCTACCAGTGCTTTTTTTGTGACGGTACTGCCCGATATGTATTACCGGCACCTCCAGACGCAGTACTGGCACCTCCAGTCAGCGCTTACCCAGAAATAACGGAGTTTACTGTACGCAAATGTCCGATAGTCGGCTTTTACAAAAAAAGCATTGCCATCTACAAATTGTGCTAGTCTCTAAGATACTGCAAGACTAAGCTTTTTCAGTTAAAGACTAAAAAGGCTACCCCTCTGAAACTTTTGAGAACATGGTTACAGAAGCAAAATCCAAATTTCTACAAGGTTGATTGTTATCCCAATGTACATCTAGTCAGGCTATGTTGTGTCCTGAGAGGGGTCAAAGACCTTCCACACCTACTGATTTTAATGAGACTTGAGAGTGATCAGGAACTCCCCAAATGAGGCCAAAATGCTAGCATAGAGCCAGAGAAACTGTACAAGGAATTTCTGGTCTCTAACTCCAAGCCAATTTTACAAGATCTAGATGTTTAGATCGTTCAGCTGAGCATCCAGATTTCTGAATATTGAACTGAACTTTCTGAGATTCATCCAGCATTCATTTATGAAGAATTCATAGTAAAAAGTACTCTCATTTTAAAAAAAAGCCCATATTCAATCATTGAGTTTCTGAGATTAGGAAGAGCTATTAATCCCTTCATCCCAAATGACCCGTGAGCAGAACCATGGTGTGGTGATGTTCCATTATATCTGTACAGGCAGTCCCCGGGTTACGTACAAGATAGGGACTGTAGGTTTGTTCTTAAGTTGAATTTGTATGTAAGTCGGAACTGGTACATATTGTAGGGGAAACTCTAGCCAAACATTTCTCCAGAGCTCAGTTTTATTCTCCCACACCTCACTTCCCTCAGTCCTTTATTCTCAAGCTGAGGTGTCTGCTGAGAAAAGCCGCTCCCGCGTCTCCCTGGTCTGCTGGAGGGGAGGGGGGCGCTAGCTTCGCGTCTCCCTGGTCTGCTGCGGGGAAGCAGCTAGTGCGGGGTCGCCTCACCCCGTTTGTAAGTAGGGATCCGATGTAAGTTGGATCCATGTAACCCGGGGACTGCCTGTATCTGGGAGATTTGGCAATGGGTAGTAGGTTCTCCTGAAACCTTGTCCCTCCAGGAAAGGACAGGTTCTCAGGTGGAAGCTCACAACCGGCCAAATCCTGACCTTACAAAAGTCAACAGGAAGTGCAGGATTTCCAAAGCACCCAACGGATTTAGGTGCTCAGCTCCTACTGACTTTCAATTACATAATTTCATTAAATCCCACAACAGAATTTCAGAGGAAAAGGGGGTGAAACAATATTTATCCATGTGGCTTTACTAGTTTTGTACTGTGTCCTTCCTGTAAAATAACTGGATCACCCGATTTAGCAATACGATAAAAATATCTATTGTCAAACTCCCAAGAATTACAGTAGTGAAAGATGGCCGTTTCAAGGCCAGAACCTTGTCTAAGACTGGCCTGTCATGAACGACTCAAAAGAAGGTATAAATCCACCACAGTTACTCTCATTAGGCAACACTACATCTCCTGCCAAGCTGGCTTCAACTTCCTCCTCTTCAGCCTACCTATCTGGCACCCCTCCAACCTATCCAAACCACTCCAGCCAAACTCACCTTCCTCTCTCCCTGCTCTGGCCACGTGCCAGTCTCATCTCAGAGTCCAGGCAGTGGTTGCCCCTCCAAGTCAAACTCCTTTCCTTCACTACTCCTCTACACAGCACTGCCTCTGTTGCACCTTGTATCTCGCCTTCCTTAAATCTCTCTTCGATCCAGAGCCAAGCCCCCCCCTGCCCTTTTTCACTTGCTGTCTTCTGTGCCAGATATATCCTCCATGAACCTTTCCTCCTTCAAACACCTTCCACTAAGCCCCCTTCCTTCCACCGTGTCTCCAGTGACCCTCCCTCCCTCTCCGGCCTAATGAAATCTACATTAATAGCTCTTCCTCCCAGCCCCAAAGGGAGCTGAGAAGCTATGCGCCTTGCCTGCAGTGCACCCTTATCACTTCTCTTTGTCTATCACCCCTTCCTTTCCTTCCTGTAACTTGCTTGGCTGCCACCATCTCTGCTGGCACTCTGTTGTGAAGGCTCTCACCTGGCACATAAGAGCCCTGAGACAGGGGCTCCATCTTTAGCTCTGTCTGTAAAAGAGCTGTGCAAAAGTTGACTGGGCAGCTACGACTAGCCTTCTCTGTGACACACTGGGACAGGTCGCACCGATTAGCCACTGGCCCACATTGCTGGGGAGTGTCTCGCAGCTGTGATGCAGCTACGGGCATCTCGGGGAGCCATGCTTGAGGGGTGCTCCTTGCGTACAGGGAGAGTCTGGATACATTTCCTAAGGAGGTACAGCGTGCTCCCCCAATGTGCATCCAATCAGCTCTGTTCTCTCTGCACCCAGGTGTGGTGGGGCATGGTCCATGAGCCGTCCTTGGGGGCACAAGCCAGGAGCAGTGCCTGTGCTCAGGATAGCACAAGCACTGCAACTGTTCTTGTATAAGAAGGGAGAAACTCCTCAGGGTCTCCCCACCCCCATATACAATCTGACTCATTAGGAATGAGCTGCTCAGTCAAGTGCTCTTTTGCTGCTTCACAGCAGTGGCAAAAACTGCAGTCTGAAATCTGGAAGAGGTTGGTTTATGGCTGCCATGCCACGCCTGCTTTGTCCCCTCGCCACTCAGGAGTGGAAGAGGCTTGGCATACAGTCCTCTCCTCACTCCATGGGGGAAAAGAAGCTGGCCCCTCGTAGGTTTGTATGTGCGTCACATGGACTAGCCTCAGACCCCATCGTGCCCTTTGGGAAGGAGGCTGCCCATGGTGTTTCTTCTATTCAAGGCCTGTTCTTGTGTGAGCAGCCGCAGCCTCCTCCCCTCTCCCCCGGCTGTCCTTTTGGGTCTCCGGCATGTCATGTTATTTCAAACACTGGTGCAGAAATGCTTCACTCCCCATGCAGGGGCTTTCATGTGTAACCTAATGATCCGACGCAACTCCAGCACTGAGCGTCCTCGCAACAACAGCTGATATAGTTAGTCTCACATGCTGACCCATTGCATAGGTTTCTGCGTGTAAATTGCTGGGTATTCCCTTGATCATCTCCTGAAACCAGAGGCCTCCTATCCAGTAAAAACAATCATGCTTCCAGAGAGATAATTAACCCGCTCAGCACTGGGAGCACTCGAAATCATGTGGTTTAGCCACTGTCATGGAGACAAACACCAGTAGGGCCACAAGGTGTATTCATCATGGATGTGGAGCATCTGTCTATTAGGCACAGAAGCAGTTGACAGCCAGCCATGAAATGGTTCTAAATTGTTATCTTTTAATAAGGCAATAATTTACTCTGTGCACAAACTGAAGTCCACGTAAGGGCAGATTCTTGCTGGATGGAATTCCTACACTAGTCACAGTATTTCACCGTGCAAATCCAGAACAGTCACATTCACTAATGTTTTTTGTACTGACTAATGAGTCATATCACTGACTTTATATTTTAGACCATCCTGTGTAACAACCCATACCTGACCTCCTCTTGCATAAAAATATGTCAATAGGGTTTGTTTCCACACCTAGTCCTTGCACAATGACAATATTGTACAACAGGATTGGCATTTTCCACAGTTAACAACAGCTCAGTTTGCTTTCACTCCTATCTCATCCCTTGAGAACCTTTGTTTGGAGTCCTGTATTCACCCTGCTGACAATCCGTCTCTGAGACATGGCACTAGACAGGTAAAATAATCCTTTTTTCAGGCTTTTTCCATCCTTTTTCTTTTAGAAGGTTAAGTGATTACTGTGGCCTCAAAAGCTGCTCCATCCTGTGTGTGAGACACTGAAATCAGATCCCATTTACACAGTTCTGAAAGGTTTCCTTGACAAAAGCTTGAATTGGGCAAGTTCAGAGAGTCCAGCTGACAAAAGGAAAAAGAGAGAGAGATGCACACAGAGAGAAGAAAGAACGAGAGAGACTGAGCAGCCGAGAGAGCTGTAAGTTTGCTTTTACTAAACGGCCATCCCAATATCTGGATCGTCTACTAAAGATTTGCTTGCTGACCTGCAAGAGAACCCCATTACAGAATACTTCTATGCTATTTAGACAACTGCTCCCTCTGAGTGTGCTTCGTAAACTCCCAGAGCTGCACTTTGCTACAACACCAGTTCATGCCACAGCAAAGCGTGAGGGAAGCACAAGCTGATGGAATCAAAGGGGGCAGAGTGGGCAGGTTTCCTGCTCTAGCGGCTGTTTATTGTGAAGATTTATTCAGTATAATGAAAAATAAATAACGAATGGCAAAACGTCAAGTGCAAGACTTGGTAGGAAGCAGTTGAACAGATTCCTTTCCATGAGGAGTATCTCACAGAGGGATGGATAAGTCTCAGAGGGACCTGTCATTGGGGGGGTGGGGAGGGGCACAAAATTGCCAGGCCCTTGAGCAATGTTGGGGGGAGGGTCTGGCTCCATGCTCCTGAGAGGGGCAGGGCCTTAGTTGAAAGGGGCAGGGCTGGGAGTAGCGAGCCCTCAGCACCACTTACGCTGACCCCCCGCTGCAAGCCAGGCTTTAGCACTGCCCAGGGGCTCTGGCAGCAATATAAAAGGGCTCAGGGCTCCAGCTGCCACTGCCATTCCCTTTGTGGCAGCAGCTGCTGGGAGCCCAGAGCTCTTTTAAATCACCAGGCCCCAGGGCAGTTACCCCCTTTGCCCCTCACCCTGTCGACAGGCCTGCCTGCTATATCCTGTTCACAGAGAAGAGAGAACACAACGGTCACAGAAATGTCCGATTTATTGTTATCGATCATACACAGTTACCTCTAGGGGGGGCATATTTACCACAGAACTCAGCTTCTGCCTCATGCCCCTTCTGGGAATAAGGTCGGAAGACAGGTCTGTTTGCATTTTTCATGCGGTAGGTGCGGAATCTGTCCTGTGAGGTTTCTAGAATTGTGGGAATAGCTGAATTTTCACTCCTTTCTCCACAAACAATGGCTATCTCCTTTCAGAATTATGCCCCTCTTCCACAACTTCCTAGCACTAAATAAGTACCGGCTCCTGGACCCTGTCTGTAGCCCTGTGCAAAACAGATGCTAGCACTGCCCACATAATAATTGTCTTGTGTTTATGTTCCTTACTGCCCTCTCCTGGTAGCAACTAGAACTAAAACATGATGTGTCATATACCTTCCACTGACAACAGCCAGAGGAGATTATCTTTCGCTCAGGGGGTAGGAGCCTGTCCTTTTGAAGCAGGATGACTTCTACTCACTGTTGCCAGGAAGTTACCAGCCAGCCATGTTTCACACCATGGTAACTTCCCTGAAGTTCGTAGCCACGCATTTGTTACATTGTTGTATTTAGAATTTCCTATTTGGACAGATCTGTCCTATTTGGACAAGAGTAAATTCTTGAATAGGGCTCTTTAAATTGGACAAAATTGCTCAGAAATAGTTTTAGGAACACCAATGACCAACCAAACTAAAAAATATGAAAAAGGGATAAGCTGTAGCTGGGCCATGAATGCAAAAATGAGGTACTGTGTGACAACACCTCTAGCTCATCAGTTCAAATCCTTGCCCAGGCCAGTGGCCAAAGTTGTTTAGTTTCTCCACAAAAGGCATGTAGAGAATGGCTTGAACCAAACCTTGCCTGAGGACCAGTGTTCCCTGTAAGCTGAGCATTTGGGCAGCTGCCCTAGAGAGATTCAAATGCTGCCCATTCATTAGCAGAGCACCCACAGCCAGTAACATCAGTTTCTACTGGAGGTGCACATCCACACGTGCCTAGGTGCACATAAAATTTATTCCACACGTGGATGGAAAAAAATGAAGGGAATGCTGCTCAGGATACCCACAAACGTTGGAACAGTTCAGACCTGTGTTTTGGAGTTGGTTTTAGCAGTTTCCACAAGTAAGCCTACGACAAGATGAACAAAACCCCTAAGTTCTAAAACCCACGAATGTTGAAAAGTTTATACACATTTCCAAAAACATCAAAGACCAAAGCATACTACCAAGTTTTGCAGTGAAATCTACGTTGATTAGAAGTGTGGGGAAAAAATCATCCCATATCCCCCACAACCAACATGCTGGCAAAAATCATTGAATTGATATAACTTATACAGGCAAAAGAACCCTCTTGCTGGTATACCGTACATTAACCAGGGAAGGAATTTAAGTATATATTGGCCAAAGGAGCTCTTTTGCCAATAAACTGCATCTCAACTTTATTATAGACTTGTTGATTTTCAGAAGAGCTCAGCCTTGGCCTAATAGTGCTCCTGTTAAAGCCAGACCTCCCATTTGTCTTAAATGGGAGCAGAGTGAGGCTGGCATTGTGTGCTTTTGAAAATCCCACTGTACATCTCAATATGGCTTTTATGAAGAATCTATGTGCAGCAATCATAGGGCTACTTGTGCAGAGGAAGGCCATTGCATTGCCCCTAGGAAACAAGAGAGCATGCTGCACAATGCTAGGAATAGCATATGCTTGAATGTGGATCACCAGCTACATTTCCTGGGGCAGGAGGACACTTAATAAAGGAAGAGTTCTGTTCAGACTGATGCATTCTGCTGAGATTCTCTTTGACATTTAACCATCCACAGATACAAATTGATCTGATCGCTGAATTCCTCTCACGCTGCCTTTACTACTCCTTCAGTGCAACGTGATATCAAGGCAGACTGCGATGGATAGCACAAGGGTGAGTGGGAAGCCAAAAACAAACAAACAAAAAAAACAAAACACCCAACAACCCAGTCCCTTACCCCACTGCTTCCCAGAATGATCTTCATATTCTCCATTGGAGCCTTCAGACACTGGGCTGTCCTTCCCTGAGCTGGCATCATCTGCAAAGAAAGGAAACAGAGAAGCTATTGGAAACTCATCCCCTTACACAGCTGTCCTTGATGGGCAGTCGCATTGCCTTTGGGAGGCAGTGTGGTGCACAAGGCACTTAAAAGTACATTTTGTAGTCGCTTCCCGATGCTTGCAGCCTGGCCAATTTAATGAACAATTTTGTTTGCTGCTTTATGAGCTTTTCAGTAGGCTACTAACATGATGGGAGATTAATAAATGTTTCCATTAATAGCTGACAAAAGCCTTTTTGTTTATATTTACTGGTCACTGTTCCCTAGGAGGAGCTGATCCATTCTACCCTCCATGCAAATAATGATATACATCAAAATTACAGCTAATTAAACCCAGGAGGTGGGAGAGACTTATGTGATCAGTCATGCGGCGTGCAAGGAGTGGAATTCTGGCAACAGTTTTACCTTGCAGTTTCTATAAAAGATCAGGAGAGCAAGTAGGCTTATTGGGATCAAACAAACCTGGGAGGGTGCTGAATACAAAGCTTTGATCAGGAAGGCAACAATGTTGAGCAGACAGGCTATTTCTTTTATTAAACCTAAGAGCACAGGAATGTATTGGACCAAATTCATGGCCTATCTAGTCCTGTTCTCCTGTTATCCTCATCATCTCTATGACAACAGCATGGGAAGAGCCCAACTGAGATCTGCACTCATGTTGTGCGAAGTGCCACACAAACAGTAACAACGAGAAGTCCTGTGGCACCGTACAGACTAACAGATTTATTGGAGCATAAGCTTCTTGGACAAAGGCCCACTTCATCAGATGCATCAGTAAGAGAGACACCCCTCCCCCCCCACTCCCTGTCTAACTGAACAAAACTAAAGGTAGCAGGAAGTAAATATTAATGTCCCCATTTTACAAATGGGGAAACAGAGGTTCAGAGATGTACCCAAGTCTCATAACACATCGCTGTGAGAACCACAATTAGAATCCTTTTTTTCTTAGACAAAGTGGTGACATCTCATTAACTATACTGCAGCTCATCCCAGACAAGTCACTCAGGCCAGGGTCTTCAAACATGGGACAGACTTGAGATTCTGATTTCACACCTAATTAAGTGGCCTTATTTTCAGAGATGCTGGAAATTAAGTCAATGGGATTTGTAATAGGGATCTTGGAGGCCTGCTGGTTGGAATCCTTTGATGCCCCCTTTGCTTTGCTGGTCAAGGTGCTTCAATCTATAAGGCAGTTGGATAGAAGGACCCAGACTCTCCCTTTCTCTCTCCACCAGATCCCAGTCCAGGGCCTTAATGTTAGTCAACCCCCCCAATACACCTCCAAGAGGGGCATCTAAATGCATTGCCCTGGATGACTTTCCATTCAGTGTGGGGCATGGTTCCTACAGTCACTGAGGTGGCTCTAGCAGTATCCCCTTTTGGGCTGTGAGAAGAGCCCTGCCGCAGTCCCAGGCTTCTCTGGGTTGGACCATCCTAAATTCGGTGGGGCCAGAACCACACAAATTCTCTGTGCTTCAAATCACCCAGTTATCTCTAGAGTAACTGCTCCTAAGTCACTTCCACAGCCAAGGAGATGCTATTATTTCCGGTGGCTGCCTTGGCTGACAGTCTAGTGACTCTTCTTCTCAGCTAGCTCCTGCCTCTTTGCCAGTCAACCCCAAAATGGCCCAGGTTTTCTCCTTTTCTTCCCCCTCCAGGCCTAGCAATAGCTGCAGGCATATTGGAGCGGGACTAGCTAGGCACAAAGTCTCTTTTTAAACCTTTCCATCCTGGTAGGTAATTTGTCCTCTTCCTCAGGACTGTTCCCATAACTGAAGGCTGCCCAATCAGCAAGCTGCCTTCAGACACTGTGTCCCAACTCCAGCAATTCGAGCGCAAATGCTACACACTGCTCAAGAGAAATGTGTGACCCTAAGGTAGCGTTTGGGAGAGACAGAGGCTTCCATTGTACAAATCCCAAAATCCACATGAAAAGATCTAGGAGGCTAGAAGTGAGGAAAGCCTTGTTCTAATCTCAACTGCAAAGTACAGGGGAAATAACTCAGGACACACACAAACACGTCCAGAAATTCTCAGAAATAACTAATCTAGTCTTTTCACCCATTTGGCAAGATGGGTAATGCTCCAACAGTTCAGTGAGCTCTGGCAGAGATTTTAAGGAAGAACAACATACATTTAACCCTCACTCTCCAGCATGGTACTCCCCCCAGTTATTGCCACGTTGGAAATAGTGTGTGTGTTTAGCAACCAGGAGTTTTATGCCTGCACACACATTGCCCTCATTTGCTGCTGTGCCCAAGCATCTATGGAGAATGCCTGAGATGCCACGCAGAGCACCCCCTCCCTCTCAAACATGTTTTTCTGTTCTGTTTCTGGTTCTCTGAGCGAAGCTTCCCTAGAAGTACATGCAGCTGTCACTTAGGAGGGAAAAGAAAACTTCCAAGGCAGCAGTGCAGTGGATTGTAACTCCAGTTGCTTGCTGAGTCACACACACACACACACACACACACACACACACACACACACACACACACACACACACACACACACAAAACCCCCAGTGCTTTTTTGGGGGGGAGGGGGGTTAAAAAAAGTTGCTAGTACTCCGGGGAAAAAGTTGTTACGCTCTGACTGGAGATGCCGGTACTGCGTACCAGGCAGTGCCATCACACAAAAAAAAGCACTAAGTCACCTCTCTGCCCCCTCAGTTGAAACATGCAACCCGGAGTCATCCGCAGCTTGAATAATCAGCAGCTCATTCTGCACAGCCCTCTGACTGAATGGTAGGAAACAACCAACGCACGGCATCTTGCAAATGTAACTTTACAGCCTTTGAAAATTAAATGCAGTGAGTGGAAAAAATGATGAATGCATCAGTCTCTTGCAAATGACAAACTGGTTCCATTCTGAATAATAATAAAATAATATAAGCACCATCCTTTATTTTTTGCTGGAAATATCAACATCCCTGGAAATGGAATCTTGCAATGTTTTCTACCAAATAACTATGAAATCCCTTTTCACACACAAAAACCACTTGGACAGTAAGGAAGAGGGAACGAAAAAGAAAAGCCATAGTCAAATATGAAAGAATTGGTGCCCATTGTTCATCCGCCAAACACCTTAAAAGTGGTTAAGACGTTTAAGTGGCAATGTTCTGTCAATTATATCTTAATCCTACTCAGCTTGATGTACAAAGAGCGGCATACCCACCCTGGCCTCCTGCCTCAAGTTACAGTATGTCAGCTCATGTGCAACCCCTGCTTTGCTTACACACACTAACTGACTGGCATTCTCAACACTACTTGACATGCTGCCAAGCCTTTGATGTCAGCCAAATTGCTCCGAGTCCGTTTGATCCTTTGAAGACGACTCTTTGCTTGTTATCCAGCCAAATCCCAAACCCATGGAGTTACCTAGAAGACCCAGAAAAAAATATTTGGGGGAGGGGGACGCGCGGGAAGGGAGGAACTCATAGTATAAATGTCTCTCTGGGTGGAAAAGAAAAAAAAAGTTGGTAAATAATTACTGTATTTCACTGGGGTTTTTCAGATCCATTAAATCTCTCACTATTGCTGTTTGTCGGGAACATTGTAGTTAAAACCAAAACTATGTAGCATATTCCAAAGAAAATAAATAAAACATTTTAGAGTTGGAGCCTCAGATAAAGCAAAGGGCTTTCTGGTTTGGTATTTGGACTCAACAGCTTCATACTCAGGGGAGGATATTATAATTGGATCTGCACTTTTCAACAGAACAACCTGTGGCTCCATGCTACTTTTCTATAAACCGAGCTTGATCTGAACTCACTATGAGTAGGTTCCTCTGTTTGTGGATAAATAACATTCTCCTTAAAACACACACTCTGTTCAGCTTGCCCAAGTCTAGAGAGAGCCCTGAATCTGGATCCAGCTCCACCCTCATAGGTGATTGCTTCAGTTTGAATTAGAGATGTAAGCAGCTAGTTGAATCTCAAGTAGTCGCTTCTCCTCCCCATTCCCCTCTTTCAAGGTATGTCTATACTACAGAGTTTTTTTCGGAAAAACTTCTGTTTTTCAAAAAAAAAACACCTTCAATTACCTACACACTGCAATCCCATTCTTCTGAAAGAAAAATCGAAAGAACAGAGGGGCTTTTCCGACATTGTAATTCTCATTACATGAGGAAGAAGCCTTTTTCTGAAAGAGCTCTTTCAGAAAAAAAACGTGTGTGGACGGGGAAGAGGGAGTTCTTTTGGAAGAAAAGGAAAGAGGAAAAAGCACAGGTGCCCTGGTGGCCACTTCGTCCATAGTAATCACAGCTTACATGAGAGATAGTGTCCATTCAGTGTGGACGCTCTCTTTCAAAAAAGCAGATCGTTTTTTTTCTATGAGCTTTTGCAGTGTGGACGCTCTCTTTCGGAAGAAGTTTTTTCCGGAAGATCTCTTCCCGAAGAGCTTCTTCCAAAAGAAGCTTGCAGTCTAGTCATAGCCCCAGAGGCAGCAAGGGGAGGGGTAGCAGGAGCCAGTGCTGGGAAGGGAGGAAGAGCAGGGGTGCAGCAGGGAGGCTGAGTCCTGGCTTTTGCCCGGTCCCCCACTTCACCTCTGCCTTTTAAATGTAATAAGAGTCACCCAGCTCTTACAACATTTAAAAGGCAGAGCCACAGCGGGGTTAGCTCCCAGGGCTAGGAGCAGTTTCCCCCTTATCGACTACTCGAGTAGTCAATGGAGATTTCATCAACTACTCGATTAGCTGATTAAACACAATTTAACATGCTTAGTTTGAATCTGGATCTCATTGTTTCCAAACGTGGTTAGATGGTGGGATTCATTTACTCCCCGTCTCTGCTTGGTTTCTCTGGACCTGGTGTGATAAGGACAATTGTTTATGTTCTGCTATCACTTTTATGAATGGTGCTGATCTGTATCTAACATTGTATTATCTAGGGGCATTATCTTCAATCCAACAATTCCCCCCCCCCCCCCCCCCCCTCCCCCGT